CACGTCCCCACCCCCCTACCCCCCCGCCGCCACACACCCCGCCCACTCCCCCAGACGGAGGGCGGGACCGCTTTGGGGAGGGGCCTGCGTGGCTTTAAATGTGGGCGGCAGGAGGCTAGCGAGGGAGAGCACACCGGTTGTCCTGTGAATGGGAGCAGGTAGGTGGGGACGAGGGCCAGGGCCACCAAGGGAAACCGAAACAATACCTGCAGGTCCCTGGGTTGGGGACGTGGCAGGCGGTGCAGCCGGCAGGGAACTTGGGACTCTGTCCTGGCCGGTTTCCCACCTGAGTCCGGGCTGGGCCTGGGGGATGCGGCCAAGTGTGGGGGTCCTCGCGGGTCCCCCAGCTTCTGGGCAGGTTGGTGCGACGCCCTGGGCGGCCCCGCAGGTCCGGTTCCTTCCTGTCCTTGCCCCAGCAGGGCCGGGGTTGACAGATTGAGAGGGCAGGGTCTCCTGGCAGCGTTGCTGGGGCAAGGAGGGTGTTGCTGACCCGTGGGGGAGCTACCTGCTGTCCAGGGTGAGCGGTCAAAGGGAGGGCCGCTCTGGTCATCTCGAGACTCTGGGGAGGCATAGGCAGGAGGGGCCCTGCCCCCTCCCCTCAACCACCCGCCAAGCTCCTGTCAAGGTCTCTGACTGCAGGTCAGAGTGCAGATGGGTGGGGTCTTCCCACCACCTGCCCACATGGGGGCAGAGGTCAAGGTTGCTGCCTGGTCACCTGGATCTGTTTTGGCCTGGCTCCAGGCTGGAGTGGGGGTTCTGCAATCTGTGGGGACAGGTCACACCACGCCTGAAGGATGCAGACCCACCCTCCTCAAGAATGGCCCTCCTTCCACTTGGCACCTGGGGGTTGCCTGAGGTGGGGGCCCTTTTCCGCCTCGGACTCCTGGGCAATCTGCTGGGTCTCCTCCCCCAGCCCAGCCTGAAGAGGATGCTGACCCTTTGGCTTCTGTGACACATTGGGCTTGCCTGGGTCTCCTGCCTTGAAGCTGCTCCTTCCTCCCTCCCCAGGCCCTGCCCTGGATGCCCCAGCTGCCTTCCCCAGGTCCACAATGTGGATACAGGCTGCCCACTTTGGACCTTCCCCATGCCCAGCCTGGGAAGGGGCAGGGCCTGGGAGACACATACCAGGTCCAAGGTCACCACTGAGGGCAGAGAGAGTGGCAAGGCCATCCCCAGTCTGCAGCTCCTGCCCTCACACACAGGCCCCGCCTGCGGGGCTCCTGGCCTCTTCCCTGAATCTTCCTTTGTTCAGGGAATTTGAGCCGCTGGCCCCAGCCCGGCTCACGCTGGCTGTCTCTGGCTTTCTTGCCTGGGCATCGCCCTTCTCCACGGCAGCACACCTGTCTGGGCCCACTGCCCAGTCCAGGTCAAGGGCCGCCCAAGGCCATGGCCCCTAGCCCCTTGCCCTGCCTCAGCCACAATGCCGGACCTCCCCTGGGCTGGGTGGTGAGGTGCTTCTCTCCTCTCCCCACCTGGGACAGGCCCTTCACCTGGCCCTCCTGCCAGAGCCCACCCTGGGCTAGACGCTGTCCTTGTGCATGGTTCTCTTGGGCTCCCAGACCCTGTGAAGGGGGCCCCGGAACGAGGCACACTTGGCAGAGGAAATGGTGCCTGGCAGTCACTGGTGCAGGTGGGCACAACGGCACCCAGGTCAGGTTCCTGGAAGTGGAGTCTGAGACAGGTCATTAGGGAGTGGCCTCAGGAATGCCTGGGGGAAGGGAAGTGAGGAGGCAGGTTGGGCAGAGGGAGAAGCTGGCCTGTGCTGCTGTATCGCCACCCCCAAAAGCAAGTCTGGGCAGCCCTGTGTCCACCATGGCCCACTGTGCCCTTGAACTCGGCCTCTTCCTGGGGAAGTGCGTAAGGAGAAGGCTCGCAGGACGGACCCAGCCCTTCCACTGCAGCAGGTCTCAGCAGCACTGGGCACCTGAGGCCTCGTCCCACTATCCAGTCCAGATGTCTCAACCTGATGCATGTCTGCTGGCTCAAGGCTCACTGGGGAGTGACCAGACCCCCTTCCCTAGGGTTCTCTCCCAGGCAGAACTGGGCAAGGCAGACCCACGTGGCTACCAGGGCCCACATGTGCCCTAGCCCCACACACACCCTGCCCACTGTATAGGGGCCCCACACCCTATTGGTCAAGTGTGCTACCCTGCTGGGTGGGTGACTTCCCTCTGGCTGCAGAGTCTGGACACGAGGGGCCAGAGTGCCTTGGGAGCCATGATAGCCTTTGGCTCAGTGGGCCTGGCTGTGTCCACTGGCAAAAGCTCTCCTTCCTCTGGGGACCAGGACTTCTAAACCCACTGACCCAGAGCCGTGCGGTTGAGGAGCCCAAGCTCCCAGTGGGTCACTGGGAAGATGGTGGGTGGTTCCTGGACCTGCGTGGCTCATGTCCTGGGACACAGTACTGGGGGAAAGCCATGATTTAGAGTAGAATGCCTGGCCTTCTGGGATATGGTGCCTCAGCCTGCAAGGTGTCCCCTGGGAGCCAGTGCTTCAGCTGTGCCTACAGCAGGTCATCCGAACTCTGTTAGGCCAGCTGCTTCCTGGGTGGCACACTGTATAGAGAAGGGCCCTGGGCAGCCCGTGGGCTGGTACTGTCCAGCTGTTCACTTGCAGCCTTTCGTGATTTTTTTCTGGAGCTTAGTTGCTTAGCAGCAGTCCCCCGGGCCTATCCTGCATGTCCTCTGTATCTTCTCAGCTGCCTGACACCGTCCCAAGTGCACCACCTTGGAAGAGCTGGACTGTGACTGTGCTTCCTCCACCCTGGGCTCTCCTCGCTCCCCCAGCTGAGCGGCCATTTCCCTGGTTCTGGATTCCCAAAGGGGCTGGCAATAGGGTCACCTGCCCACAGCCTTCCCAAGCCAGGGGCTGAGTCCTGCACCCCTGGAGGGTGTCTGGGCAGCACCTGTCCACCCCACCAGGTCCTGTGACATCAAAGCCCTATCTTACTACTGACTGTGGGGGCTCTGTGCCCATCCCAGCCATGCCGCCCCGGCACAGGGAAGACTCAAGCCCACCTCCCCTGCCATCCCCAGTGAGGGCTCCTGCTCTGTGGTGTGGAGGCCCCCCGAGTGGACAGGCTGCAGGGCAGCATGGGAGGCTCGAAAGCTGTGGGATTAGGGCACGAGATGCTCATGAGCTGTGAGGTGGCCCCCTGTGGGGCCAGCCTGGAAGAGAGGATGGGGGGACCCTGGTGCCTTCCAGGGTTAGGCTCTGCAAGTTCACAGAGCACAGGTGGGCATGGGTGCCCATGAGACCAGGAAGCGGCTGGATACGTGGTTCTGGGCTCCAGCTGTAGATTTAAGGAGCTGAGGGCAGACACGAGGCAGTTTCTGATTTAATGGGTGGATGGAGGCAGAGTAGAATCCCGTCACCAGGGAGAGGAGTCAGAGGTGGGTGGTAGTCAGGTCCATGCATTTGTTGAACTTGGCAGCCAGACTTGGAGGCTGCCGCAGCAGGAGCTGTGGAGTGGGGGTGAGGAGTGGACGTGGGGGTCTGACCCTTCTCCCAGGACGCTGTGTGGGAGGAGGTATGGGCAGGCTTCTGAGCGGAGGGAAGGTTCCAGGAGGAATGAGGGGGACTAGGGACCATGGTTCTGAGGAAAAAGGGAGCAGACCTGGCCCCCGGGCAGTGGACATGGCAGGTGGGGAGGTGTACCCATGACCACAGACTAGGGGGCTTAAAACAGCAGAAACTGACCCTCCTGCAGCTCTGGAGGCCAAAGTCTGAAAGGGAGGTGTAGACAGGGCCATGCCCAGCCTCTGCCTCCATCATCATGAGGCTGCCTCCTCCCTGAGTGTCATCATGTAGGGACACTGGCTGCACTGGGTTAGGACCAATCCCATTCATCTTACCTTGGTGACATCCACAAAGCACAGGAGGTGAGTAGGACTTGACATGTTTTGGGGGTGGCACAATTCAACACGGCATAGAAGGGGGCAGACTAGGTGGAGGCGGTGGGTGTGCAGGTGTGGCCAGGATGGAAGAGTGGCTATACAGCTCTCTGCTGAGAGGGGCAGCATGTGGAGCTCTGGGGCATGGAGCCAGGTGACAGCACCGGTGGGTGAGAGGCCCTTGCCTGGCCTATACATGGCTCTTGCCAGGATTGGCACCCGTCCACTGAATCTGTGGCCCTAGTCCGGGCCCCCCAGGGCAGGGTGTGGTTGTAGGGGGCCACAGCCCAGAGGCCATGGTGGTGGGGTGGGCTAAGGGGGATGTGGGATTGAGTGGGCAGAGGAGACACAGGGCCAGGCTGAGGCAGGACACCTGCTGGGTCAGAGGGCAGGCATCTCACAGGAGCCAGGTGGGGAGCTGGGGAGGGAGAGGGGGACCTCAGGAGCTGTGGCAGGGCTGGTGCTCCTAGATTTGAAGGCAGGGGCGTCCCTAGTGGGGGTGGAAGGTTTCAAGAGGCTTCTGGATCAGGGCAGGCACAGGACGGAGCCTTTGGGGAACCAAAGGAAGAGCCCAGAGGTTGCAAGACCCTGCCAGGCAGAGGGTAGGCCCTTGTGGGTGGGGCCACAGCCTTCTTGGACCAGGGCTGAGCCCCAGAGGCAGGGCTGAGGACAAAGGGGCCAGGAAGGTGTTGGACCAAGGTCAGGACAAGCCTCCGAGGACAGCCCCCCAGGCCTGAGAGGCTGCCGATGGCCAGCCCCTGGCCCCTGAGCTCACACTGTCCCTCTGCATGCTCTGAGCTCCTGGGGCCTCCTTCACTCCCTCTACAGGATTCTTCATGGCCTGGGCAGGCCCCTGGATGGGGGATGCTTGTTCCCCAGGGCAGGGCCGACTGGGCATTCCACTTGCAGGAGCAGATCTGGCTTCTCAAGGAACGCTCTGGCCTGGGTGTCTGGACTCGTCCAGCTCAGGATGGTCTGGGGTTGTGTCTGGGATAGTGTCTTCCGCTCACACCCACCCAGGGCACTCAGAGTCCCTGGCTGAGCCTTTTTGTCCCCCACAGGACACAAGTGGACCTCCAGCAAGTTCTGCACAACCAGCTGTGTGTGATGAGTGGCCACACCTCTCCTCCTCTTGACGTCCTGGTCACTGACAGCACGGAGCAAGCCAGCATCACCCAAACCATGATAGCCATACCAGGAGCCAGCAGCCCCTCTGGGCCCCAGGCCGAGGCAGCGCCGTCCTCCCAGGCCAAAAGCATAGCTGGGGTGTACGTGGAGGCCTCAGGCCAGGCCGAGAGCTTCTACACTGCCATGAGACAGGGCCTCCTGCCTGACAGCCTTGGGCTGGCTCTGCTGGAGGCCCAGGCAGCCACTGGGGGCCTTGTGGACCCTGCCCGGGGCCAGCTGCTCCCTGTGTCAGAGGCACTGCGTCAGGGCCTGGTGGGGTTGGAGCTAAAGGAGAAGCTGCTGGCCGCTGAGGGCGCGGTCACTGGCTACTCAGACCCCTATGGGGGTGAGAAGCTGTCACTCTTTCAGGCCATCGGGAAGGAGGTTGTGGACAGGGCTCTGGGGTGGAGCTGGCTGGAGGCCCAGCTGGCCACGGGGGGCCTGGTAGACCCCACCCGGGGTATTCGAGTGGCCCCAGAACCAGCCTGCCAGCAGGGCCTCCTGGATCAGGAGACTTGGAACAGCCTGTTGGAGCTCGAGCCCAGCATGGGGGTCCCAGGCTTCCTTGACCCCAACACACTGGAGCGGCTGATGTACCGTGAGCTGCTGGAGAGGTGCGTACGGGCCCCTGGCTTGGGGCTGGCCCTGCTGCCTGTCAAGGTCACCTTCCGCTCTCTGGGCGGGGCGGTGAGTGCAACTGAGCTGCTGGAGGCTGGCATCCTGGACGAGCAGACCGTCCAGTGCCTTCGGGAGGGCAGGCTGGCTGTGGCAGACGTGAGCAGGCACGCCGAAGTGCAGCGCTACCTGGAGGGTACTGGCAGTGTGGCAGGGGTCGTCCTGTTGCCCGAAGGCCTCAAGAAGAGCTTTTTCCAGGCCACCGCTGAGCACCTGATTCCAATGGGCATCGCACTCCCACTTCTGGAGGCTCAAGCCGCCACCCACACCCTGGTGGACCCAGCCACAGGCCAGCGGCTATGGGTGGAAGAGGCGGTCAGGGTGGGTTTGGTCGGCCCAGAGCTGCACGAGCCGCTCCTGTTGGCAGAGCAGGCTGTGACAGGGTACCACGACCCCTTCAGCAGCACCCGAATCCCCCTCTTCCAGGCCATGAAGAAGGAGCTCGTGGACAGGCCACTGGCGCTACGGCTCCTGGATGCGCAGCTGGCCACAGGCGGGCTAGTCTGTCCGGCCCGCAGGCTCCGGCTGCCCCTGGAGGCTGCCCTGCGCTCTGGCTGCCTGGACGAGGCCACTCAACAGTTGCTCTTGAAGGCAGCTGAATTCACAGACCCCAGCACACACAGGAGACTACATTATGAGCAGCTGCTGGCCCGTTGTGTCACTGACCCCGAGACGGGCCTCGCCTTCTTGCCCCTCCCAGGGGGACCCTGTGGAGAGAAGCCCCAGGGACCCCCGTTCATTGAGCACTGCACTCGGCAGGCTTTGAGTGCGGCTGTGACCACCATCTCCATGGGGAGGTTCCAGGGTCAGCCCGTGTCTCTCTGGGAGCTGCTCTTCTCCGAGGCAGTCCCCATGAAGCAGAGGGTGACACTGGCCCAGCGGCACCAGGAAGGGACCCTGTCGGTGGAAGAGCTGGCTGCTGAGTTGAAAATTATCATTGAGCAGGCTGCAGCCAATGCCAGGGTCACCTTTGCTGGGTTGAGGGACACCGTAACACCAGGGGAGCTGCTGAGAGCCAAGATCATCGGCCAGGACCTGTTTGAGCAGCTGGAACGAGGACAGACCACAGCCCAGGATGTGGGCAGCCTGGACTCAGTGCAGAGGTACCTGCAGGGAACGGGCTGCATTGCTGGCCTGCTGCTGCCTGGCTCCCAGGAGCGGCTCAGCATCTACGAGGCCCGCGGTAAGGGGCTCCTCAGGCCTGGCACCGCCCTTATCCTCCTTGAGGCACAAGCTGCCACTGGCTTCATCATCGACCCCAAAGAAAACAAGAGACACTCTGTTGAGGAGGCGCTGAGGGCTGGTGTCATCGGGCCCGATGTGTACATGAAGCTGCTGTCGGCCGAGCGCGCCGTCACCGGCTACACCGACCCCTACACCGGGGAGCAGATCTCCCTCTTCCAGGCCATGCAGAGGGACCTCATCGTCCGCGACCACGGCATCCGCCTGCTGGAGGCCCAGATCGCCACAGGTGGGGTCATCGACCCCGTACACAGCCACCGCCTGCCCGTGGACGTGGCCTACCAGCGCGGCTACTTCGACCAGACCCTGAATTCGATCCTGTTAGACCCTTCTGACGACACCAAGGGCTTCTTCGACCCCAACACGCACGAGAACCTCACATACCTGCAGCTGCTGGAGCGCTGTGTGCGCGACCCCAAGACAGGCCTGTACCTGCTGCCGCTCCGCAGCGCACAGCCCCAGCTGGTGGACGGGGCCACCCGGCAGACCTTCCAGAAGTTGCTGCTGTCTGTGAAGTATGGACGGTTCCAAGGGCAGAGGGTCTCCGCGTGGGAGCTGATCAACTCGGAATACTTCAGTGAGGACCAGAGGAAGCAGCTGCTGCAGCAGTACCGGCTGCGCAAAGTCACGCAGGAGCACGTCAAGCGGCTGCTGGAGGCAGCATCGCGGAGGCGGGCAGACATCATGCTGCCTGCACTGCAGGGCCGTGTCAGCGCCTACCAGCTCCTGGAGGCCCACATCATCGACCAGCAACTCCTGGACCAAGTGCTGGCGCAGACAATCAGTCCTGAGGCCCTCCTCCGCATGGACAACATCCGCAGGTTCCTGCGCGGCTCCGGTGCTGTGGGTGGTGTGCTGCTGCAGCCTTCCAACCAGCGGCTCAGCCTCTACCAGGCCATGAAGCAGAAGCTGCTGCGACCTAGTGTGGCCCTGGCTCTGCTGGAGGCTCAGGCGGCCACTGGCACCATCGTGGACCCTTGCAGTCTGGAGACCCTCTCAGTGGATGAGGCTGTGCGTAGGGGCGTGGTGGGGCCAGAGCTGTGTGGCAGGCTGAGGAGGGCCGAGGGTGCCGTCACTGGCTTCAGAGACCCCTTCTCTGGGAAGCGGGTGTCCCTGTTCCAGGCCATGAGGAAGGGCCTTGTCCCTTTGGAGCAAGCTGCCCGCCTCCTAGAGGCCCAGGTGGCCACAGGAGGGGTCATTGACCCTGAAGGCCACCTACACCTCCCCATGCCGGTGGCCATCCAGCGTGGCTACATTGACCGGGAAATGGAGACGGCTGTGTCCAGTGCTTCTGAGACTTTCCCCACACCAGACAGCCAGGGACACACCAGCTATGCCCAGATCCTGAAGCAGTGTGCCCAGGACAAAGCCTCTGGCCTTCACCTCCTGCCCTTGCCAGAAAGTGCTCCCACCATCCCCACTGACGAGCAGGTCCAGGAGACCCTGCAGGCCACACCGGGGACGGAGGATGGCATGTCCCTCTGGGACCTGCTTGGCTCCTGCCACTTCACTGAGGAGCAGCGGAGGGGCTTCCTGGAGGACATCCGGGAGGGGAAGACCACCGTGCCACAGTTGCAGGCAGCCGTGCAGAAGTGGGTGCAGGGAGCCAAGCTCCTGGCCCAGGCCCGTGTCACGGTGCCTGGCCCGCGGGGTGAGGTCCCCGCTGTCTGGTTACTGGATGCTGGCATCATCACCCAGGAGACCCTTGAAGCGCTGGCTCGAGGCACGCTGTTGCCCACTGAGGTGGCTGAGCAGCCAGCGGTGAAGGCCTGCTTGTGGGGCACAGGCTGCGTGGCTGGCATGTCGCTGCAGCCCTCTGGGGCCAAGGTCAGCATTGCTCAGGCTGTGAAGGATGGCGTCCTGCCTGCAGGCCTGGGTCAGAGGCTGCTGGAGGCCCAGGTAGCATCTGGATCCCTTGTTGACCCTCTGACCAACCAGAGATTGTCAGTGGATGATGCAGTGAAGGCCGGCCTGGTGGGCAGGGAGCTGAGTGAGCCGCTCCGGCAGGCCGAAAGGGCTGCAGCTGGGTACACAGACCCCTACTCGGGGGGCTCCCTCTCGCTGTGGCAGGCCATGGAGAAGGGGCTTGTGCCCCAGAGTGAGGGCTTTCCCCTCCTGCAGGCACAGCTGGCCACGGGGGGTGTGGTGGACCCTGTCCACGGGGTGCACCTACCCCAGGCAGTGGCCTGCAGGCTCGGCCTCCTGGACGAGCAGACGGGCCAGGCGCTGACCACGACAGATGCAGACAACAAGTTCTTCTTCGACCCCAATACGAGGGACAAGGTAACATACCAGCAGCTCAAGGAACGCTGCCTGCTGGATGCCGAGACCGGCCTGTGGCTGCTACCGCTCCCCCAGGACAGAGCACTAGAGGTGGATGACCACACCGCTGTAGCCTTGAGGGCCATGAAAGTGCCCGTTAGCATGGGGAGGTTTCAAGGCTGCAGCGTGTCGCTCTGGGACCTGCTGTGCTCCGAGTACATTGGCCCTGACAAGCGACGGGAGCTGGCAGCACTCTGCCGGTCTGGGAGGGCTGCAGCGCTACGGCAGGTGGTCAGTGCGGTTACTGCCCTGGTGGAGGCTGCAGAGGGGCAGCCCCCACAGGCCACCTTCACAGGGCTCCGGAAGCAGGTATCAGCCCGGGACTTGTTCAGGTCTCAGCTGATCTCCAAGAAGACACTGGATGAGCTGCAGCAGGGGAAGAGGACCGTGCAGGAGGTCATGCAGACGGACAGCGTGCGGCGGTCCCTGGAGGGAGGCAACTTCATTGCCGGGGTCCTCATCCAGGGCACCAAGGAGAGGCTGAGCATCCCGGAGGCACTGAGAAGGTGCATCCTGCGGCCCGGCACAGCCCTGGTGCTGCTGGAGGCACAAGCGGCCACGGGCTTTATCATTGACCCTGTGAAGAACCAGAAGCTGACTGTGGAGCAGGCATTCGAAGCAGGGATGTTTGGCAGAGAAACCTACATGAAGCTTCTGTCAGCCGAGCGTGCCGTCACCGGCTACACTGACCCCTACACCGGGGAGCAAATCTCCCTCTTCCAAGCCATGCAGAAGGACCTCATCGTGCGTGACCACGGCATCCGCCTGCTGGAGGCCCAGATCGCCACGGGTGGCATCATCGACCCCGTGCACAGCCACCGCCTGCCCGTGGACGTGGCTTATCAGCGCGGCTACTTTGACGAGGAAATGAACCGTGTGCTGGAGGACCCAAGCGATGACACCAAGGGCTTCTTCGACCCCAACACGCACGAGAACCTCACATACCTGCAACTGCTGGAGCGCTGTGTGTGTGACCCTGAGACAGGCCTGTACCTGCTACAAATTGTAAAGAAAGGAGAAACCTACACGTACATTGATGAGACCACAAGGCAAGTTCTCCAATCTAGGACTCTGAAAATGCGCGTGGGCCGGTTTGCCAACCAGACAGTGTCTCTCTGGGACCTGCTATCCTCAGCATACTTCACAGATGACAGGAAGCGTGAGCTCGTGCAGGACTATGGAGCTCGGGACAGGGGCCTGGAGGAATTGTCAGCAGTCATCACCACGGCCATCGAAGAGGCAGAAGAGCAGAACCAAGCCATCAAGGTGGCAGCCATCAGGGGGGACACGACAGCTGCAGAGTTGTTCCACGCTGGGGTTGTGGATAAAACGACCCTGGATACACTTCGCCAGGGTAACAGGGGTGAGCAGGACCTCAAGCAGCTGGAGCATGTGAGGATCTATCTGGAAGGCAGTGGCTGCATCGCTGGGGTGACTGTGCCCGCCACCCAGGAGGTCATGACCTTCCACGAGGCCAGCAGGAAAGAGCTCATCCCCACAGTGTTCGCAGCCCAGCTGCTGGAGGCACAGGCTGCCACCGGGTTCCTGCTGGATCCCCACACTCACCAGAAGCTGTCCGTAGATGAGGCCGTGGCTGTGGGCCTAGTGGGCGAGGAGCTGCAGGAAAGGCTCTTAAACGCCGAGAAGGCTGCCACAGGCTACGAGGACCCTGACTCAGGAGACACAATCCCATTGTTCCAGGCCATGCAAAGGAAGCTTGTCACAACGGCAGAAGCCTTGAGATTGCTGGAGGTGCAGGTGGCCACGGGCGGCATCATCGACCCACAGCAACACCACCGGCTCCCACTACAGACAGCCTACAGACGTGGCTGTCTGCACGAGGACACTTATGCACTCATCGCTGATCAGAAACACATGAAGAAAAGGTTTGTGGACCCCAACACACAGGAGAAGGTCACCTACCAGATGCTCCAGGAGAGGTGCCAGAGGCAGGAGCACACAGGCTGGGCTCTGTTCCCCGTGGTCAGGGACACACAGCAGCCTGAGTACATTGATGAGGCCACCAGAAAGGCTCTTGAGGCAGAGCAGGTAGAAGTAACAGTGGGGAGGTACCGAGGCCAGAAGAGAACAGTCTGGGACCTCCTGAACTCAGAATATGTGACGGAGGAAAGAAAGCTTGAGCTGGTGAGAATGTACAAAAGGGAAACAGCACGACCACTACAGAAGGTAGTACATGTGATATTAGACATCATCAAAGAGCATGAAACCAGCAGGGAGCAACTGTGGTTCCGAGGGATAAAAAGAAATATCACAGCATCTGAGCTGGTAAGCGCAGACATCATCACCACAGAGACCCTACGGGAACTAGAGACAGGAACATGCACACCACAGCAGGTGACCGCAGATGAGCGAGTGAAGCGCTACCTGGAGGGCACCAGCTGCATCGCGGGCGTCCTGGTGCCCGCCAAGGACGAGCCCGGCCGCCAGGAGAAGATGAGCATCTACCAGGCCATGTGGAAGGGCGTGCTGCGGCCCGGCACGGCCCTGGTGCTGCTGGAGGCGCAGGCGGCCACCGGCTTCGTCATCGACCCGGTGCGCAACCAGAAGCTGTCCGTGGAGGAGGCGGTGGCCGCGGGCCTGGTGGGCGGGGAGATCCGGGAGAAGCTGCTGTCGGCCGAGCGCGCCGTCACCGGCTACACCGACCCCTACACCGGGGAGCAGATCTCCCTCTTCCAGGCCATGCAGAGGGACCTCA